GCTGTCGATCTTGCTGTGACCCCCTAGGAAAAGGTTATGCCCCGCCCTGTAGATGCATTCTTGCATCTTTCTCATATTATTCTTTCTATTACATTTGTGAAGCTGATCAAGCCTATCCCTTAGGAGTGCTAATAGCAAAGTTATTTTTGGTTTTTTTTTAAAGCAAAAGGCAAAAATGCTGCATCTCTTACTGCTAATTTTCAAGTCAGGTATGAAATGTGTGTGTTTGTGTGTGTGCATGAAATAATTCTATGACTATTTTTCTTCTGTACTGTTTTAGTTTTGCTCATTTATCTTATTTAACCATAAATGGCATTTTCTTCCCCTATATAATGTAACCATAGCTGTAAAATAACCCATATTAAAAAGATACCTTTATTGTGTTTCACATTGCAGATCAATATGAGAGAGAATGATTTGCTCAAAGTCACTAACAGAATTCACGGCAGAAGTAAGATTTGCATCCGAAGCTCAAAGCAGTAATTCTACACAAAGTCAAGGGCTCTCAAAAGGAAAAATATTAACAGCTATCTTAGACAAGTGTAAAGCTCTCCTAGCTGTAAATTGCAGAAAGAGCCTGAATATGTGTAATAGAAAGTTTGTTTACCTGCATGCTCAGGTTTTCCTTTTCTAAGTCACCTATGTACAGCTGAGCATTTTTTCATCAGCTCAGTGTGAAAAAGTCTGTCTATTGAAGACCATACAGAAAACTTCATACATTGTCTACCCATACTGAGTAGTAGCATCTTGTTGTTTCTTCCATTATTTTGGGTTTTGTTTGTTTGTTTTGTTTTCTTACCAGATCCCGGAGTTGCTGAAGCAGCTGTAAAACATCCAAGAGTTTTTCTTCCACCAGTGACAGCCTTACTCTCTCTGTTTCCAACATCTGGAATTCCATCTTCATCAGCTCAGATTCTTCCGCATTCTGGTGTATTTCCCCCAGCAATGGACCTTTTGTCTAGACAACGGATGACATAAAAAGTATTGCCTAACTTCTGTGTCTGAGACTGTGGTAGATGCCTCAGAATCCGGTCTTTAAATTAATTTTACTAAATGGAATGTGTCAGTGAAAAATACAGTCAGTAGGATGTGTGCACAGATATGTGATTTTTCTATTTTATTGATATCTTGCTGACTATTTGAGGTAGTTAGGATCAGCTGGGGATTTTAAATGCTGCGATTCCAAATATATTTTCTACATGCACATATAATTTCCAAGGAAAGCAATATACACAAAATTGCCTGCTACCATTAATTATATTTCACAGCTTCATTGCCCCCATAAATCCGAAGTTCTCATTGAAACCATAATAAAATATTTCTCCTTCAACCATGACTGTTTCAGAATAATCTTATTAAATGCAGACCAAGCTGCACTTCTCTGAAAACCCATTGATTACTTCAAATGTATCATTTGATGTGTCATAATCCAAGGCCTATTCTTTGCCAGAAAAATGTGCAATACACAGAGTAACAGATGTAGGTTATAGAAAAGAAGATCCCAGCTGTACGTTAGAAAAAAAAATCCTGCCCCTAAGAACAGTTTGAATATAAAACTAATCATTCAGAGAGGAAGTAGACTTTCCTTTCATTTTGACCAAGGTGTGGCTGGCAAGCCATTGTCAGGGATTCTTTGATTTCGTGACCCGTCAAAAGCGCGTTCCACAAAAGCGCGGTTGACGAAATCGCGTATGTGACGTCATCACAACGCGACGAAAAACATCGAAAAATTGATGAAAAAGATCGAAAAATTGAAATAAAAATT